TGAGCTCGCTCAGTTGGTTTAATGAGCCGTTTGACAAGCCCAAAATTAAATGAGCTCGAACTGAACACGAACTGAGTTCGAACGTAAATTTTTTAAATGAGCTCGAGCTCGAACAGGTGTTCGAGTGGCTTGACGAGATTCGAGCCGAGCTTTTGACAAACGAGCATGAACTTGAACAGGCCAAAGCTCAGCTCGTTTGCAGCCCTAATCATGACGATAGCATAGCTCGGGTCGGTATCGCTAATTTATTTAATGCCTTGATTTGATACTCTAAGAAAATAATTCTGATAAAGGAAGCACTTTAACAAGCTGACTAAGGCATCGTTTGGGACGAATCATTGAAGAAAAATTTCTTGAGCCAGCTCATGAAAAACAGGATTTTGAAAGAACACCCTTATTTATTAGATTGGAGACAGCTTAGACAAGTGAGCATTGAATATTGAAAAGGTCATTTTCACTTGATCAGTTATCAACCAATTGCTCCAGAGATTGGTAATAAACACAAAGAGCCTATTAGGCATTCTGTGGACCAAGAAAAAAACACAGTAGAAGTCTAGTGGGCATGGCATTACATGTGTCCTCACTTAAAGCATGAATTCCAAGTTGAGACAAGCAATGGAGAACAATTAGTTTCCCTTCCTGCTCCTAATGGTTCTTCAACATCTTTTGTTCAAGATCCTACTCGTGGTTCTTTAATGGAGTATGCTTCCAATTTTGGACAGGGATTATTTGTATCCAAGTTTTGTTGTAAGCTTTATTTGTGTTGGCTTGTGAAGGGGGAATATGAAATTTCTCCTAAAAAAAAAAAAAAAAAAATTCAAGAAAAAGAAAAGAAAAAAAAAACAAAAGAAACAAAAAAAAATATTAGTATGCATTTCACGTGCCCTCCACTGGTCGCCAAGGTATAACCTCCCAAACATGAAAAAATCCGTTTCGGCAAATAAATGATATTGGACTTAAACTTTAATTAAAACCTAATTTTTAAAATGAAACTCGTGAATCATAAAGTGACTCAATCAAAGACAAATAAATAAGGAGACTCATGTATGAGTTAGTTATAAATTTTGGCATGAAATTTTTGAACGATTAGCTTGTAATGATCATCTCAATTGGGATGCAAATGAATGAATATATCAAAATTGTCATTCCAAGATAAAGATTTTACAAATATATTTTGTTTCAAGAAACAAAAAATATGGGAGATGTGGCTTGATCACAAAGCCATGATATGGGGCTTTTGAATCATGATGAATGACATGTAGCTTTGCAAAGTAACAACATTAATCATACAAGCAAATACATGTGATATTTGCAATAATAGATTTGTGATCGATATAATCATACAAGCAAGCGGGTGAAAATAAATTCTCAATATATGCAAATGAACAAGTAACAATTCAAAGCTCTCTTCAACAAGCATCATTGTAGAGTGATGATATGAAACTCCCACTCATGAATAACAATTAATAGGGAGCCAACAAATGGTGCAAACAGAACTTGTTGGTTGCAAGAAATGCTACGAGATTCTCAACTCATCCATGAACTAAATCCCTCAATGGACATTGCAAATTTTTATGTCAATAGTGGTGATCGACGAGCAACCTTTATCCCATTCATATTTATTGGGGAGGTATGATGATGGGAGCAAATATATTGATGCTCTTATAAGCAAAGAACAAAAAGAGCGGAAGGGCTAATTATTTGATTATAAAGCCATAGTGTGAGCTTTTGAACCATACCAAATAACTCATAGCATTGGATCTAATTCATCCTTAAGCAACATTCAATGAGAATTACAAGACATGTGGCAATATACCTACGATCAATAGAATGGAATTTCCTACAAATGTTCAAAACATTCATGCTAAATGGGAGGAAGGTATCGAAGGGGCAATAATCATTGGGAGCATTCTGAAGCCATTTTCAAGGATGAGAGAACCATGATGCGTACAACAATCCACATATAAATAATAATGAAAAGGTATGTAGAGTGTAGAAAATGCACACTAGTTGTGGTGGCATTTCCATGGTAGATGTTGAGTGACATATGGATGAAGAATATTGAAAGCTATGAACTACAGATGGGGATCGGCAATAAGTGGCGGATAATTTGTCACCTTAGACAATATCCACCTTAGGTCTACAAGGTACCCTTGGATGAAGCAACCCATGACTGCCGACAAGGATCCTTCTATCAAGGTGGGTCGACTACCTCCTCTGACTAAGTATACCAGGGTCCACGATGGCCCGGAACGACGGAACCATGGGATCTTGATCGGGTTCATCATCCATTCCCCCACCATCCGCTTTAAGTGCAAGATGGTGAAATTTCTAGCAAGAGTATGGTTTGGATTACAATGAAACCTTTAGTCCCGTAGCAATATTTCCTACCATTCGTATTCTTTTACAATTGCAGTGACAAATCGATGGCCAATCCTATAATTAGATGTCTCTAATGTCTTCCTTCATGGACCTCTTCAAGAAGTTGTCTATATAAAGCAACCATCGGGTTTCATCGACAAACAATTTCCAAATTATATTTGTCTCTTAAAAAAGGCCATTCGACTGAAGGGAATTCTACCATTAATGTTGATCTGAACAAGAAGATGAAGCCGGAATACGATTCAAGTAAAGTTAAGTAGAAGAAAGTTATTAAGTATGAAGTTAATTATGATGCAATGCAGAAAACATATTATCCTTGTTTAATTTTATTATGTTTGAGCATGCAGGAAACATAGTGACAAGAAAGAGGATAATGATGATCATGACTAGGGTTGCAAACGAATCAAGCGTTCAACGAGCTGCTCGTGCCTCGGCTCGATAAGGGCTCGTTTATGTTCGTTTAATAAGATAAATAAACGAGTTTGAACTCTCTTGATAAATACTCGATAGGTAAATGAACAAGCTTGATAGTGTGTCATTCAGTAATTTATGTTCACAAACAACCTCGCTTAGAAGTTCGATTAGAGCTCGACTAAGAAGTTCTATTAGAGCTCAATTAAAATTTAAAAAATAAATATCATTAAATCTACTAATTTAATAATTTATTTTTACTAATTTAATATTTTTAATTTTAACCATTTTCATTAGACATATTTTTAACTTTTATTTTTACTAATCTAACTAATTATAAATATTTTATTAAATCTTCTACTAAAAATTGTATTTAAATTCCTTTAGTCCCGCCCCCATTTATAAAAAATTTATTAAACTCTCTCTCTCTCTCTCTCTCTCTCTCTCTCTCTCTCTATATATATATATATAGCTTGCCTTTCTCTCTCCTCTGTGGTGTCAAAAAATTTTAAAAAAAATTTGTAGGACATTTTGTCCAACACTGTGTGGAGTTAAATAATTATGCTATATAAAAACAAATTCATCTTGTGCCTTGATGAAAAGCACGAGCGGGGTGGGTTGTATGGGCGGAACGCTTAATGAGCTCGCTCAGTTGGTTTAATGAGCCGCTTGACAAGCCCGAAATTAAACGAGCTCGAACTGAACACGAACTAAGCTCGAACGTAAATTTTTTAAATGAGCTTGAGCTCGAACAGGTGTTCGAGAGGCTTGACAAGATTCGAGCCGAGCTTGAGCTCGTTTTTGACAAACGAGCATGAACTTGAACAGGCCAAAGCTCAGCTCGTTTGCAGCCCTAATCATGACGATAGCATAGCTCGGGTCGGTATCGCTAATTTATTTAATGCCTTGATTTGATACTCTAAGAAAATAATTCTGATAAAGGAAGCACTGTAACAAGCTGACTAAGGCATCGTTTGGGACGACTTTTTTTTTTTTGCTTCTTAAAATAGAATTTTAATACAAAAATTAAAATTTATTATAGTTTATATATCATAAACATTAGCATTGACAATAAACTTTATTTTTTAATACTTGACCAAATAGGGAATAATTAGAATTATTCATTTGTGATAATATTTATAGTAAAAAATCTATCATATTTATTCATGTAATATATCCTTATTATTGAGGATATTCTATTTCAATGCATTTCCATTATTATTTTATTCTCTTGCCTTTATATAGACACAAAATCATTCGAACAAAAATATAGCATTTTAGAATATCTAATATTGTAAGAAATAAGATAATTCTTGTGGGAGAACAAGTTGGATGTTGCCACAACCATGTATCCATGCATATTGCATGAAATAAATGCCCACAATTTAGTAAAAACAACCTCAATTGCTTATCCTCTCCTTCCTCATCATCATAGCCGACAAGGCTCACTGACGATCGACACACCGGCCAAGTTGGAGATTACCCCAACCATTGATCCACACATATTGCATGAAATAAATGCCCACACCACCGTAAAAGCCTTAATATGCCTTATCCTCCCTTTCCTCATCTTCATAGTCGACATGGCATTTACGTTATGAGGCTGTAATAGAAATTCATTGGCTTTCAATTAATCTTTTGCTGTATTACGCTAAATGAGATTTGACGTAATATCAACTGTAGTCGGGATTAAATTTGCGTCATTATTAATCGAAAGGCTGTTATAAATAATTAAATGAAAGGTTGTAACTGGAATACATTAACAAAAAGGTTGTAACTGGAATACAGTTTGGTTTGCTTTCCTTATTAACATCAAATGATATAAAAAGCAATATGAAAGAAAGAAAATATTAATACAATTGGTCATAAAATAACCCATTCTATTTCTAAACAAAGGAAGTCCTCATCTTCAACTAGAATCACAAAAGAATAAGATCTAGTCGAACAACTTAAATGCTCACAATCAATTTGAAAGAAAGAAAATATTAATACAATTGGCCCATTCTATTTCCAAACAAAGGAATTCCTCATCTTCAACTTGAACCACAAAAGAATTAGATCTAGTCGAACAACTTAAATGCTCACAATCAATTTGAAAGAAAGAAAATATTAATACAATTGTCCATAAAATAACCCATTCTATTTCCAAACAAAGGAAGTCCTCATCTTCAACTAAAACCACAGAAGAATTAGATCTAGTCAAACAACTTAAATGCTCACAATCGGGTAAAAGTTTCAATGGCTTATCCTCCCCTTCCTCCTAATCATAGTCGACAAGGCATCTCGAGTAGCAGTCGGCGGTGGCCGCCCACAAATCCTAATGTTTGACTTGGCGTAGGTGAGGTTAAGCCAAGTTGGGAGGTTACCCCAACCATGGATCCACACACATGGCATGAAATAAATGACCGCAATCCCGTAAAAGCCTTAGTATGCCTTATCCTACCCTTCCTCATCTTCATAGTGGACAAGGCATATCGAGCATTACATGATTGGAGCATTACATGAGTGGAAATGCTGTAATAAAATAGTTAATAATGTCCCAAAAAAAAAAGTTAATAATTAATGCAATGCAGTTATGAACTGTCCAGTAGTATTAACAGCTATGGGGAGAGAGAGAGAGAGACTCACTTAGGTGGCACGGCCGCGGAAGCGAAGAAGACGTAGGCTGAAATTTTTTTCTCTGCATAAGATATGAAATAGAATGAAGCTATCATTTAGTTCTTGATAGAGTTAAAAGTGACAAGAGATAAAATTATAAATAATTTGACATATATTTATATAAAGTAAATTTATTTACATTACTCCTAAAGGTGACACTACGCATATCGCTCCAATGAAGCGTTTGAATAAACACTTGTAAAGCACTCGAAAAATACTCATATAACAAACACACATAAAGGAAGAAAATTAAAAATTTATTTTAATACTCAATGTTCAACTATTTTTACATTTTTACACCTCATGATTTTATTTTTTTTTAACGACAAAAAACTTATAACAGCTTACTTGTAGAGAGAGCAGGCAGCGGGAGAGCACCACCTCCACGGGATAAAACACATCATGTCCTTTTAATTATAAATTCTAACACTCAAAGCACTTCTATTTACATATATCGCATCTAAACTTCACTTTTTACTGTTATACCACCTAAAAGCCCTAACCAAGGCTTTTAAAACCGGACCAGACCGGCCGGTTCAACCGGTTGAACCGTGAACCGGCAGGCCGGCCAGTCACGGTTCAAACTAAAACCTATTTCGCTAAAAACCGGCTCCGAACCGCTCGAACCGGCGGTTCAAGCGGCGAACCGATTCCAGTTTCCTTTAACCGGTCTGTTCGCTAAAAAAAAATGGATGGATGGGATGTGTTATGTGTGGACAGCGGAGCCTTCGTATTCGTCGTGTGGCATTGCAAGGCGAAAACAAAAACCGAAAACCCTATTCTTCTCGCGCGGCTGGCATTCTCCGCCTCCTTCGTCTTCTCCGCCTCCATCATCTTCTTCTCCGCCTCCGGCATCTCTTCTAGTTCGAGAAGCAAAATCGCTTGCAGTGAGTATGCACTATCGACTTTTGTGAGATTGTGGTGACATTTGAGCATTTCAATACCTAAAATCAACTTTTAATTTATGAATTTTGGATTTGTTTTTATAAACGATAGTATACTGTATTACTTATCCTTGGATTGTGTTTCCTTAATCTGTTTTACAGTATTGTTTAGATTTACTAACAGTTTGAATCACAAGGCTATAAATCTTTACACACGATCACTTGTTGCTCCCATCCTTCTCTGTTACTCACGCCATCTGCTTCACACACAAGCAGAAACCAAAATTCCAGCCTCCCCTACTCTTATTCTGCTCGAATGTTGGCGTCAAAACTGTTTGAATGGTTGCTAATGTAGTGTACTGTAAAGAATTTGAATATGTTCAAATTTTTTGTGCGTTGCACCGTGATATGGAGTGTAGCATTTTGGCAACAAGTGGAGTTTAGCATTTTGGCATTTTGTATTTGTCTAATAAAAATTTATATGGTTGAATCCTGTCAAACTATTTGGATTTAAGGATTTACATTTACTGAGGATTTAAGGATCTAATGACTATTTGTGGACCATGAATCAAAAATATGCTGTAATAAAAAAATGTTTTCAAACGATTATGTTTAATTTTTGTTATATATTTTTAAATCATTGTGTCATTATTATAATATTTAAATATAATAAATATTTATTACGTCATCCGGTCCGACCCCGGATTGACCCCGGTCGAACCATCGAACCGATAACCTCTTCTTCTTCTGGTTGTTCATTGATCGGTCCGGTTTTCAAAGCCTTGGCCCTAACACTCACCAACTACTACACTCTTTGCTCCCGTTAAATGAGCATCACCAAACTACTTAGCCTTCCGCGACTTTCCCTTGCTCGGTCGGATCTCATTTTTCTCGGCCAGATATTTTCTTCCTCCATTTCAAAGAGAGAGATTTCTGGTGTATCATTCACTAAATCTGAGTTAAATCCATCCCAAACTTATAAGTGGAAGAAGAGGGTGTGACTGTGTAAAAAGTTTTCTGGAACTTAAAATACCAGGATTTTTTATTAGTGAATAAGAAGATTGGGGAACAAGAGGAGACCATAGCTTGGTATTTCATCACTTACCTTCCAGCTTTCTTAGATGCTTTATATCTATCCAAATGGCCGTTGTGTTCACCCTCAAGAATTGCTCGAACGGTTCAAAAAGCAAAAAATGTCTCCGCATACAGTAAATACCATTCTTCATATAAAAAAAAAAAAAAATAGAATGAACCCAAATCTATTTATAACACAAGAAAACGTCGCCTGCCATGTTTCGCAAAAAAGGGTTTAGGGTTGGTCCAATAGAAGAGATAGAAGGGAGCTGCTTACCTGCTCTGTTTCGCAAAAAGGGGGAGCTGCGTCGGTCCGATTTTCAGATTATCGCAAAAAAGGGAGCTGCGTTGGTCCGATGGAAGAGATAGAAGGGAGCGGCTTACCTGCTCTGTTTCGCAAAAAGGGGGAGCTGCGTCGCAGCAAGAAGAGGTTTTGACGGGAACGACGAGCAATAACAGTGGTATTTTATTCATCTTTTATTTTTTCCTTTTGTAGAGACCTTACCAGTGGCGGAGCCAGAAAATTTTTTGAGGGGGGGCCTAAATTATTTTATTACAATTTTCTCTCAACTTTTTTCATCCGGGCTTGGGACCGTCAAAGGCAGTTTTAATTTTTTTTTTTAATAAACTACTAAATATAAAATAAAGTACACTTACAATTTATACATTCTGTTCTTCATATTTTGAAATAACAGAATGATAAATCAAACTACCTAAAACATATATAACTCAAATACTATAAGTTGATCTAAATAAAAAACTTAAACTAAAGCATTATAAAACATACTAATATACTATAATGAAAGACTATAATGAGTTTTTTTTTTTTACCTAAACAGAAAACTAAATTTAAACTAAAACATTCAAAAATAGTTGGCATGCAAAGAAATTTTCATTTTTTTACCTAAACAGCAAACTAAAGCTTAAAAATTAAAAACAAAATCTATGAAATGATACAAAACAAAATAAAAGAAAATGTGAAGAGATTTTTTGAGAGGTACTCACCTTCAACACTGCAGCTGCGTTGAAGAACTGAAGAGATAAGAACAGTTCAGCTGCGTTGAAGAATGCGAGTGAAATGATACACAACAATGAAATTGCTGCGTTGAAAAACTGAAGAAGGGAGATCAAAACCGAGAGAAGATAATCAACCATAAAATAATTCATAACACTTAAGCTAGAAGATACAAAATGATTTTTTTTTGCTGCGTTGAAGACTTGAAGTTACCTTCGGGCTTCGGCTGCGTTGAAGAATTGAAGATGGGAGATCGAGACCGAGAGAATGTCTTAAATGGGCTGCCCGCTGCCGACTGGACGACCCTTTGGAGAAAACTGCTGCGTCGCGCTGGATGGAGAAGCGATCGACTTCAACGGCTCGACGGAAAGGCTTCCTTCTCCCGTTCTCCGCGCGGAACCTGAACAGGCGGAACAGCTGTGTGAATAGGCGAATGGCATAAATTTAGGGAAAAAAATGTTGAACCGGCCAAATAAACCGAACGAAATGCAGGTATTCGAATTTTTTTTTTTTTTTTGGCGGAGGGCCCCATGTAACTCCGCCGTTGGACTTTACCTGAACCTGCCGCGCCTCCAGACAAAAGCATCCTCGTCATCGGGCGGCAGGTAAAATGAATTGTCAATGCAGGTGGGGCCCACGACTGGAACGCCACTATGCAAGTTAAACCATATGGCTTCTCAAAATAGTAAGAAAATAGTATTTTGGAAAAGTGTGCAGCACATTCAAACGGCAAAAAAAAAATCTGTTGTTTCAAAACAAAAAATACACAGGGAACAACGGGCAAACAAACCAAGCCTTAGATAAATAGTTTCCGATCACTTAGAATGAGTTATCATTCTTATGAGTTCTAGTTTTCAGATTGAACATTTCATCATTCTTAAAATTCTGAATTGCTCTGATTAGGAGCCTTCCCCGTAGTGACATAGTCATCCTCTTCATGTCTCATTCTTCCAAACCAAAGTCTTCCTACTTCGCTAAGGCTTGGTTTGTTTGCCCGTTCCCTATGCTTTTTTCGTTCAAAACGATAATTTTTTTTTTGCCGTTTGAATGTGCCGCACACTTTTTCCAAAACACCATTTCCTTACTATTTTGAGAAGCGATATGGTTTAGCTTTTTCCGTTTAAAAACTCCATTTCCTCTAATGATGTTTTTGAAACGGAGAAGTTCAAAAAAACCAAACGAAGCCTAAGAGAGCTAGATCCGAAGAGGCATAAAGAGCGGAGTTATCAGTTGGAAAATCAAGGTTGGCAGTGGAGGAGGAGGGAATGCCAGAGGGTGGAGGTGTGTCTTGTTGGATTAACAGCTGATTAGAAGGCCCAACTATGATTTGAGAATCAATGGGGCGGGCAAGATGAGGTCTGATATTGCTTTGACCTCTGGCATGAGGGGCATGTGGAACTCTACTCCGACGTCTTCCTCTGGTAGTTTGAACCACAACTGGCTGTGAAGGAGGATTGGACAGACTGGTAGCTGAAGTATGAACTAAAGAGTCACAGTGAAAGCAAGGTATAGGCCTCCATTCATATTATATTTTGAAATTAATAATCTCATACTCAACAGAAATGGAAATAGAATCAAGATAGTTGAATTTAATGTTCACCTGAACACATACCCGAGTAAAGGATAATCATGTTTTTTGAGTTGTGCGAGTGTCGACGGCCAACAGAATGCCAACCTTACTTACTATCTTGAAAATACCTTCAGAATTCCAACAATAAAGTGGCAAATGAAGAATCTTAAACCATATGGGAAATGACGTAAGATTCTCCCTTTAGGGTCAGAAACATGGCAACCATTTTTGGAGGCTAAAGGATTTACTTAGAAGAAACCACACTCCTCTAGACCAAACCATCTCAAAGCCTACGGGAGAGTAGAACTTTAAAAGAAAAAATTCCATCACTAAGATTATAATGCTGTAAAATACTTTGGAGCTTCCAAGCCTTAGGAATAGCAGCAAGCAACGCCTCAAAGTAAGGCCTCCTATCTACCGAGTATCCAACCAGAGATAGACTCCATTCCTCCGAAGCAGCATCTGTCTTCACTTTAGGAAAAATAATCTCCTCTTTTAGGGTGTACATAAGAGAGATGGGGAGTAGGTGGTTGTTGATTAGGAGCAGTCAGACTCAAATAAGAAAGAGAAGAAAATAGAAGCTTGTGTCCTTTAAAGGGTTTGTTTTTCTTTCAACTATTCAGAAAGCTCAGTTTAATAAGAATAACAGCGCATATACCTTTCACTCGAAGAAATGAGTAAGGACAATTCATCAATAGATCTCTCTTTAAGGAATTGAGTTTCCTTGATTTCATAAAATTAGCTATGAAAAATAAAGAAACAGAGTGAGATGAAGAGGTAGGTGAAATAATGGAAATTATACTATTTTTTTATTATTCGATAACAGAGAGTTCACGGGCCTAATTTTTTTACCCATATTTATAAGTGGGATGGAGTCAAGATAAAAGTTATATTAAAATTAAATATATGTGACAAATTATGACTTAAAAAAGATCAGATAAAAATATTCTAATAATATATTTTTAAGTAGATTCAACATATTAAAAATTTACAAATAAGAGGTGGACTCGCAGGAAGTCACCGGCAATTTTATCCAGCCTGGCCATATTGAACCGGTGATTGAGTTTCTTATAATTGTTCTTCATTCATGTTCATTCATGAGCGAGTATACCAAGGAGTTCGCCATCGTCCAACAACTTAAGTGAATTGGTCATGACGACTATTCTAGTATCGGTACTGACTTGACCGGAACCCCCTAGACGATTTTGTTTGGGTGTACGCCTAAAGGAAGACCTCACGCTTATAACACGACGAAAGAAAACCCCCAACTTATTTCCCCTGCTCTGCGACAACCCATCGATCGGTGCCCTAGTGTTAGTGCACATACAAATGAGGCAACCAAATGCTTGTGGACCACATGTTGTAACCGTTTGAGCACACTCCACATTCTCTGCTTTTGTCAGCCTGGCACACAACGACCTCACGCTTTAATTTCTTTCGATTTGTTTATAATTTAGTTAAATGATTTAGTTTAATTTATTATGTTAATGTTAAACTCGAGAAAATTAAATTATTTTTTTCTTATTTATTTTAATCTTTATAACTTGGACGTGTTTATAAATCTAACATATTTATCTTCAAATAGTTTTGTTTATTTATAAATTTTTTCTGATGCCACGCATACAAATTTATATTCTTGATTTTTTTAATCCAATTAAAATAAAATTTAATTGTTAATTTCAAATTTTATTTTAATTAAATTTCTTTTGATCAAATTTGACATCTATTATGTTAATTAATTTTCATTATAATGATTTTCTTTAAGAGTAATGTTAGTTTGACATTAGAAAAAAACTATTAGCCGATAAATATTTTAAATTTATAAACACTTCATAAAGAAGAAAAAAAATTAGTTTTCTCGAGTATACCATTATTACTGCAAGTTAAACGAAATCATCTAACTAAAATTTCAACAAATCGAAAAGAAATTTAAATATATATATAACAGATAACAATAATATCGAATTTAATTTTATTTAAATATATGATATTTGATTTATTTGTTTGTATATAAATATATGATAAACTTTTATAAGAATTTTTATATTAAGTAAATATACAAATTTTTATAAGGTTACATTATATTTATTATAATTAGAAACCTCGCCGTCCATTAAATTAGGCAAAGATTTGAATTTGAAAAGTTATTCTAATCGTACAGTACGATAATGATCGTACTGTACGATGTTTAAAATATTGCCTAATTTAATCCGCTGAATGTTCAATCAAAATGGCTTAATTTTGATATTTTGGTCGTATTGTACGAACTGGATCGTACTATACGATCAACAGAGAAAATTCTGGCCGTCATGGACGAACTGCACTTTTATTAAACTGTTCGTACAACACATCGTACAGGACATCGTACAGTACGAACTTCAACTGAACTGTTCGTACAGTACTAACTGGACATCGTACAGTACTAACATCGTACAGTACGATCGTAACTTATTCTTTCAAACTTAAATTCTTTCAAACTTATTCTAGAATTTTCAAGAAAATTTTTGGGCCCCTAAATGGAATTTTCATAATTCCTTCAAAAAAAAGTTCTCTCTCCTTTTAAAAAAAAATTTGAGAGATGCGGTTATATTAAACACCCCTCTTAGAGGTGACTTGAGCAGCCTCCTTACAGGCCAGTTAAATTAAAAAATATCAACTATTTACAGTAGAATCGTGCGTCCCTCAAGGGTGCGCCTCTTCATCCATTTTGATGCTGAATGGTAGCCAATGAGTGGTCTGCCAATACGGTGGCCTAAACATATCCAAGCACCAATTTTTGGCCCATACAGTCAGAATCAAACATTTTTGGGGTTCATAGAACCATTTTATGATGTTATGTACTCATTTTTTTGGCACTTCTAAATCTAATAAAGACCACTACACCCAAGATCAAAATTATTTTTTAGTTTTAAATTACATAAAAAAGTTTGCCTAATGCAAATTTTTTGGACTTTTGGAGCTTTGATGTCCGAAAATAGGGATAGAACTAATATATAATCAAAAAATTATTTGATAGGGCACAAATCTCAAAGTAAAATTAAGTTGGAACCTTCAAAAATTTAATCTGGGACCATCTCAACTCCAATTTCACCAAACTTATAGACGAACTTGTCATCTCAAAAATACAGGCCCAAAGACACCAAATTTGACCAAATCCGAGCTCAAATTGGTCCAAATCAAAGACCAAAAGAACATTTGAAAGGTTTAAACCATAATTTTGATTATTAAAGGATGTTCAAACATGACATGTTATAGTCAAATTGAGAGGCTTGACGAGATGAATCCAACGAGGCTAAGATCCCTAATTTTTGATATCATTAAGAAAATAAAATGCCCAATAAATGATCCATAATCATGGAATTCAACATCGATCTTCCATTTAAACCACTCCTAATTTACACTTGACCATCCTCTTATTTACTGGCCATGCCACTCTCGAAAAACTATAAATAGACTCCTCATTCCTCATCGGAGG